TGCTGTTTTAGCTGAGGAGGCGTATGAGAAAGCCGTTAGTGCACAAAAATTGACGTTGTTTCAGATAAAACAGCCGTGAGGTGTTTCATTCCGCCAGAGAGTTGCACTTAATTGGTAAAATGACGCGCTGTTCTGCAAATTTTTAACTTAAAAATTTGTTTGTTGCGTGTTAAAAATACAGCAACGAAATCATGCAGAAGATAGCACGTAAGGCTGTCTTGCCTAATCTTCAGTAACCACTGCGCAATCATCTCAAACGAGCGGCAATGGCAAGGAAGTGCGCGATGCCCGCCAAATGTTGGGTCACCCTTAAGATACAACTATTCGTGCTTGATGGATGTCCGTGGTGCATATTCACTCATTTGAAGGCGCTTCAGCTTCGACGGGCCGCACCATTTAACGATCGCGCGTTCCAGGCGGCCAGCAACTTACAAGGCCTTGTTGTTTTGATTTGTATAGGTACGGTCGAGAGGCTTATTCTCTTTGTCGTTTTCTCTAGACACTTTTACAAATAAATTTTTTTTTAAAAAAAAAAACTGCTAATATTTTGAATTGGACGCAATTAAATCTAAAGGAACTATTCAGCGTGACTCGTGAGTTAAGTCATGTTCCACACGATTCTCATCTTTCACTACCCGAGATGGGTCAAAAAGTCACGAAAAAAATGGATTCCTGATTTAACGATTAAATTGTTAAAAAATATACCCGACATGTTTCAAATGTACATTTTACAATAGTGGAATTCTAATTTAACTACGGAAGTGGTTAAATTGGCATGATTTCATTGTGAAATCTACATAGAAACAAGACTCAAACTTTTTTTAACTACAAAATTGCTAAAACATCAATTTCATTTTTCCGTGTGGATGGACGAAAACGTTGGCCCACATTCATGAAGCAACCGAGTTTAGTCCTTGTCTTCAGCAGAGCGCTTTTCTCCTTCGGCGTGCAACTCTGCCAATCTGCTCGAAAAAGTTGCCAGAGTCCACTCGCGTAAATTCGCCTTGTGTGAACGAGACTATGCGGATGATCACAGATGGTAATTCGCCTCCAAATTCCATTTTTTTTTTTTTTTTTTTTTTTTTTTTTTTTTTTTTTAATGGCAGATAGTATTTTAGTGTGTTATTTACAAGGTGGAACTGTGTGAGACAGGACACAGCCCGAAGGCCTAATATACATTTTAAATTCTTTGAAAACCTATATATGTTACATTAGATTTCGATTAAATCCCCCAGTATTTCCCATAATAGAGTTTCTTATATATACATTGTTCTTTGAAGCTCATCTTACTTCAGATTTAACTACTTTACACCGTTCTCCTCAGAATTACCCATGAGGGGTTGGTCTGCGAGGGAGGATGAGATCTCCAAATTCCATTGGCAAAACAGTAATCCCCGACGTATAATCTAGGAAACGCCGAAGGTTGAAATTCGAATCAACATTTTTTTTTCACTCGAAGGAAAAACCTACCCCCGGCTGTTGAATTTCCCTCCTTTTCCTCCAAAATGTCGTGTGCATGCGTCTTGCCTCTCAGACGAACCCGATCCCCGCCTGGCAGACCCGCCGACTTCAAAAGATCGCGAAACGCGCGGGAGAGCGGCATTTCATCCCTCTTAACTGCCTCTCACATCCGCGATCTACAAAAACAGGCTCGGGCGGGACCCAAAGGCCTCAAAGGCGGCTCTCGAACTCGGCGCTCGTAAACCACACGTGCCACAACCCGGGATTGGCGAGCGCCAATTTTTTACCAGACTCCGCCCCCTCCCCCGGAACAGGCCCAGGCCTATTCAGCATGCACGGTGGCGGTATCTAATTAAAACCGACTATGATGAAATTAACAAACTTTAATTAATAGTTTGTAATGTTTATAGTCCGGGCCGGGGGCCATGGGGGCCGGGGGGGCTGATAATAAAATCACTTGCTCTCTATCGCGCCGTGCGATCGCGGGAACTTGTGAGCGGCGGGGGAGGGTGGAACGGGGCTAAATATGCTGAGTGTAGCGTTTCACGACCGCTACCGGCCTGCCTGCACCCCCTCCCCCCCATCCCCCGCCGTTTCCCTTTTTCACGAACGATCCATCATACGAGTAATTACAAGGAAAAGCAGCTAGCCGGTTACACTGTCCCACTGGGGCGGGGCGGAGACCAGCACTCCCTCTCGGAACGAAGAACGACGAATGTGCGTATGGATTCCGTTGCATTTGAGTGGTTCTTCCTCGGCGCGGTAGTCGTAAGAGCATCGCGGCGCTGGGATTAGGTTAATTATACGGACACACACCAATCCAGCGTCGCGGCGCTGGCGGCGGCGACGCCGGCGTCCCTTTCCGCGGTGACGGTGTTTGGACACTCGGTCAGCCCCCCCCCCTTCGTTGTGTTAAAATCTCCTTTCCGTCACTCCTAAACTTATTCTTCATGATTTTATGCACAATTAACCGCGGCTTCCGACGTCCATCAGCTTTGTGATTGTCGTGTCGTGCGATTAAATGTAGATATTTTACCTGGGATTGAAAGGGATAAGTGCTGCTTTTGCAGTACGTTTTGGCAACGATGATCGGCTTTGAGAGGGGCTTGGGATTTGCTCCATTTTAAACGCGCATTACCTGCGTGGGTGTTGGCCACGCACGTCATATCTGCCACACCAGGAGAAAGCGCAGTATGATCACTTGAATGTTGACAAATTTTCTCTGATTAAATTTCTTTTGCCGAGAAAAATTACGCATATTTTGTCTTCAATTTTTCGGATGAGTTGAGTTGATCTGCGAGTAAGATTCCCTGAGAAATTCACCGGAAAATATCCACAAGTTTGAGAGAAAATCCGTATTTTATCAGAAGAGATTTGACAACAGTCGGATGCTCATACGTTTTTATTGCTTTTGTAAAAGAAAATACATAATGCGTATCATTAAATCGTAAGTAGCTGACGATCCTTTGAAAATTAGCTGCCTGAGTATCACGTGAGTAGGCTTTTTGCGGTGGATTACCAAGGTGCTACGAGGAAACGTCGTATGGGTTTTCAGGAGATGTAAACTTTCTACTGTTGAAAACCTAATTTTCCTTGGAATTTGTGATGATTTTTCATTTAGTTTTTTCCAATATTTCCCCCGTAACTTACTCTTATGCACCGTTAATTTTTAAACAGGAATTTTCATAAGTTCCCTTAAAAACAAATATTTTATGACTGGAAAGGCGAATTCGAATGCAATTTCGATGTTCTTTCTTGGCCACGCTGATTGCTTGCACGGTCTTGGCCTGGTCTAATGACCGAATCTGATCCAGCTAACTTAACCGACATAAAGGACGGTGGAAGTACCTATTATGCTTCTAGTTTTACTTTTCAGATCGAAAACGTTATTAATTTGGCATTTTGCTAGAATTATGTAAAGAAGAAGAAAAAACACAGAAAACCACGAATTCGTCCAGCACTTTGAAATTTTTAAACTGCTTGTCAATTGGATTACCTACATTTTGCAATTAAGAACTGAAATTTCTAGCTCACTTTAGGAACAATGTATGCACCTAGTTCCATATGCACATAAGTGTATTTATGGATGAGCCAGCATTTGATGGGACAGCAAAGAGACATGTCTAAGTAGCAAGACTGAATGAACACTATGTATGCGAATATTGCAAAGTTGCAATGTCAAAAAAATGGAGCCCCTGAAAATATTGATTTCTGTCTCAGAAACTATGATCAGTGTTAATTCAACAACTTTTTCCCATTGGCTTGTCTAATATTGATATAATGATGAAATAATATTATTTAGATGATGAGGAGGGGGAGGGCCAGTGCAGACTGTGAAGTCAACAGTAAAGAGGTAAATTGATTATTGTATTGAATGCTTCCGTAGAAGATGTACTTTAAAAAGTTTTAAAGAAGCTGATGGAAAGGGGGTAAAAGAATGGAACAATATAATTTTTTTTCCTCATTTATTTTCGGAAAATAACAGAGGATTAAGTTCAATAATCAAAATTAAAAACGTCATACATGACCTGTACATTTCATAAATAATTTTACGCATACTCTTAGGACTAAGGGGTTATTATAAAAATAAATACTTTGGCAACTTCGGTAACATTAAAATATACATAAGAAAGTAATATTTGGGTTGATTTCAGAACATATCATTCAGTACTGACAAGAGCCAACTTCTGCTTTGTAATGAAAGAGAGTGAAATTTGCAGGGAAAAATACTAGAGGGAATTTTTTGTTCTTCCACAGGCCAGTACATCACAAGTTCTACACTTTGTCTGTGCTAAGTTGAATTAATGGCAGGAAAAACTTGGATGCTTCGATGAAAGTTAAAAATTGGAGACAACATGGTCAAGAGGGGTTAAAAAGAAACCAAAACTGTAGTAATTAGTGAAATACAACACTTACAAGTTTCAAACAACTATGTAATAAAGCAATGAATAAAATGAAAAACATGCTAATTCATCTACTGCGCTTACATAGCCTAAAAATATGTATATCCTGAGCGTAAATTAGTTCATGAAAGTGGGAGCAAATGTAAAAAATAACGAGGGAAAGAAAAAGAGTAAAAAATGCATTTCCCCCATTTCTTTTCATTTATGGTTTTCAAATGGATTTCAACTATTTAGTCTATTTCCTTACTTCAGAAAATAACTCTTGTCTTAAGAAATGTTTCGCTCTTGTTAGAAGAGAGGAATGTTATTTGAGGAAAAGTAAAAAGAGTGAAATGTTCAACAATAAGAAGTTGATGTAAAAACTGAGTTTGAAATGGACAGTTTACTCATTGAAGAAAATTTTGAGGGAAGTTTTTGGAACCTATGGTGTTATGCATAAGCAAGACTTGCAAATAACTCAATGCACATGCTTGAAAGTTTGGAGAGTAAATACAAGCACCATGAGAAATTTCAGATTTATAAATTACTATCGATCATTTGAGCAGGCCCAGGGGCAGAAAACACCAGTATCTATAATTCTATCTGCAAATATGTACAAAAAGATTGTTAAAACACAATCAGATGGTTTGTACTTGTTCAGTATTTTTCAGTTATTCTCTTGGCAATGGCAGAAACTAAAGCAGCACCTTTTCCACTTCCGTCTTGAACCAGAACAATCTTGAACTGAAAAAAAAAGAAAAAGATAGTTATGAAGCTACATAATCCATTCACATTAAAAATCATTACTGAAAGAAAGTTAAGTTAAAAAGAAAATCTTGTTCTTGTGTGTACTTGCAACAAAATTGAGGTATACAAAAAGGGCAGAGGGTCAAAAACTTACTGACGGTGAGATTGCAAGAACGTTTTTCTCGTTTGCAGTACTTCAAACTCTTCCCTTCTATTCTTTTTTTTATTTATTTATTAATCCAAAGAGATGAAATTGGTGCTGTTGCTTGAAATTTCAATAAAATATTCTTCACACAGAGTAATGAAATTATGGAAATTTCGAAGAAATGAAATAGAGGAGGGAAGTATAGCAATTTTTAGATTTCCAAACATTTCATGTTTAAAAACAAGTGCATTCATACTATAGTACTCCCTCTCTATCTCTCTATAAAAAATTGAAACCAAGCAAGCAATTTTTCATTACAATGAGCGGCACTCAATTAACATGAAAAATTCAAGAGATCAGATGATTCCTTCAAAGATAGAGACTTTTTTTTAAAAATAGGTGCTGATATAGAGAAGGAGCATGGTACAATGACGAAATTTTCTCTCTAATATTGCCATTATTCGAATTTTCAACTTTGAAAAAGAAAAGATACTGTTCCTTTCAGGTAAAAACGAGATGAAAAAAACCTTCAATTTGAAATTCAGGCAAAAAATAAGAGAAATATTTAAGAGGTACTGAATAAGTGGCTGTACTTACCGGATGACTGGGAGCCAGGAGCTTTGTGTATTTTTCCATCCATATTCTGAGTCTTGGATGGAATTTGAACAGAGAACCGTCAACAGCGACTGTAACCTGGGGTTTGCTCATTCGGATTAATATTTGAGACACACCTAAAAACACACGATCGTATTAGTAAACTCACAAAAAAAAAAAAAAGACACAGATATAGTATGCAACGATTTCTTCAGAATAAGCGCTTCTTATGTCCTTTCATTATTTGACATTGATTTAAGAGACAAAGTAATGGGTTTTTTCAGCTTTGAAACACTTCTGCTACAATTGTCTCAGAAATCCATTTGCAGCATTGAGCATACTTATGCTCACACAAACTATGTGCAATTGAATAAAATCAAACAGAGCTATACAGATAGTATTCGTGCATTCCTTTTGGAAATATTCAACTGTACATACTACTAGCACAGGCAAATACATCCAATCATAGAACTGTTATTCATAAGCAACTGAATATACTGACATGTAACCGCGTGAGGGATGCAACACCTGATAGCCACGATTAGCACACTTGTAGTATCAGGAATGGTTGAAAATAATGCTAAATATTAATAATGGTTCACCAAAATGTCAAATTTTTGTTTAAAAAAAACAACAAAAAGTCATGATTCTTTTCTGAAGAATTTTTACACCTCAAAAATATTTAATATGTCCAAAAAACGAACGAATACTTACAGATTGCAACAAACTGAGCTGCCCGAAGAGACACCAAATGACAGATATATTGAACAATTTTGACATCATCATCGTCATAATCTAGTCCTAAATCATCTAGAATTTTTTCCGTGTTCCCTTTGGTGCCATTGATCGAGTCCCTGGAAAAAGTGGAAGTGAGTTGATGAATTGATGAAAAACACAGATAGATACAATGGCACTGAGAAAAAGATGCTAACAAATTATACCAATGGCCTGACAAAATTAAAATCTTGGACTGAGATACTTATCGAAGGTGTAAGTCGGCAATTACATAACTCGGTTTGCAACGTCGCAGACTTCCTATCATAATTTATTTTTTAAACAGGAAACTACTCAACGGCAGTTCTTTAAAACTGCCGTGATTTTTCTTCTCTGTGCGAAGAAAATTCTGCATAAACTTCAAGGAATGATGTAAATTTGTTCTCCTTCATAAAAATAACATAGAGGCGGAGATTTTCAGACACCGCAAATGAGTTACGTGATTGCTGACTTACACCGTGGATATGCATTTTTCCATTTTAGACATTGCTTGGACACATTTATCAATGTCTACAGAGAGAAGATGTGAAACTTCTTTATCTAGGTAAACTGAGAATTTTTAAGGTAATCATTTCGTTGCTTCCCAAACGAACGGACGTATCTCTGTTCCAAAATCAGACGTATCTCTGTTCGAAAATCTACTCACAAAATAATTCCTCTCACACAAAAATGACAGCAATGGCTGTTCAAAATTTCGCTGATTTCTTACAGTAATTCTTAGAAAACTCGGTGAAATTTTCTGTAAAAAGTCAAAATAATTCAAAATAATATTGGAGTGAAAAATCCGAATTATTAGAGAAAATTTGGCTACGCAGAAACAAAGTTACATTCTTTTATCATAGCTTCGTCGGAACGACGATTTAGTATACTCAGTGATTGACAAGACTTCCTGTTCACTCAACAAAAATATTCTAAGAATTAGAAACGAAGCAAAAAAAATCATCGTTGAAATAACTGAGAGAATGTACATATTACTTGCAGATACAAAATGAAGGCACATATATTGAAACAAAGTTGATATGTACAAGTTTTGAAACTCACTCTTCAATACCAGACACAAAACTGGTTCGGAAGTGACCATGCTGAAGAAGTTTATCTGATGGTATGCCATTGAATAGATGTCCTTCCCTTGTCAAACTGCATAAGACTACTTGAACAAGTTCTCCCATGAATTTTCCACCAATTTTCTTTTCAAACCTAGAACAAAAAATAAAAACTGACGATAATGATATCATTTTTCACTTAGGGACCAAACATCGCCCATGATGCTATTGCTTTGGCCAAAAAGCTAGGAGGAGGAATAACAAATCTGAATGAAAGAACTAATTTATTTTCCTACTTCTTCAGATTTATCAAGATAAAGATGTAAGAAAAAATATTACCTGAATGGATTTATCTTACAAACTGATGCTAATCTTTTCCGTGTGTAAGGTCAATGATTTACAAGCATTTATTTTTGCCATTTTCTCCAAACAAAGAAAAATCAAATATTTTAAAACGATTGAAATCATACTTGAGAAAAATCAATGATTAGTTTACAAGATCGTTTGCTCAATCAAGTGAAGTTTTTATAAATACACCTCTTTCAAAGCACACTTGATTGCCAGAAAACCAGAGACAAATTTTCACGAAAAGTTTCCAAAGACTTGAAAGTTCATGATACTGACTGCAGAAATTGTATGTTGGAGAATGAATTTTACCAGACCATACAGCAGTTTTGCCCAAAAAAATAGAAAAAAATACTACACTTCATTTGTTTTATCTCTAAAGTGCAACAGACCCATGGAGAGTAATTTCTTGTGTTAGGTGTGCTATGTTAAGCTATGTTCTTCTGCTTTAAATGACTTGGGACGTGCCAAAATGAACATCTCAAGGAAATCTTTCCTGCATTCTTCATTTTCATAAAAATTTCTTTGAGAAAAGAGGCTGTAACAACTGAGCTTGATCTCTTGGCTATATGCTCTCTTAAAATTGTTCTGGCTCTACTCTGATTGACGTGCACTATTTTGTAAAGAGGTACTTCAAGTGGCTCACTTTCAAAAATAAAAAATGGGACGAAAGCCTGATAAACAAGTGCAAATTATTTTTGACTCTGAATTTTCTTGATTATTCAGAATTAAAGAATGTGATAGAACTTTAGAATGCCCGTTAAGAAAACAAAAAACTTACGTAAACGATTTTGGTATTAAAGATTTTTCATCGACAGTTCTATCAAATTCAGTTTTGACAAAATCGATGCAGCCATTATCACCAAATGCACCCCACTCAATGTCTATGACAACCTGTAACAGGAGGAAATTGCAGAAATGTCAGTACACAACTAAATCAATCTGCACTTTATAAATTTTGCAATTAAAATTGGATGGAAATGTTTTGATAGCTTACTGAAGACCAAAAGGACAACCCTACTACTCCCTTACTCCCCCTATACTCCCTTACGTAATGCGTGTTGCAGGGTAGTAGAGATGGGTTCAATTGATTTTTGATAGAAAAAACCAAGAAAATCAATTTTTTCCTTAATATTTTTTTATCTAGTCAACATCTGTGAAATGAGTTATGAATGAATGCGTCTGAGAGATAACAAGACATTTCTTCACATGAGAGCAAAAGCTTGTCAACTTGTGTCATTACCAACCTTATTGCAACTTTGCTATGTTGTCAGGCTATACAATTAATATTCTTTTGAGGAATAGAAGGATAAAAATAAAATTTGTTACCTGTTTTTCTCCATGCCTTTCAACTTCCCAGTGTTGAACTCTCTCTGCCCGCTCAAGGTAACAAGCATTTGTACCAGTTCCAAGGATTAATCCAATAGCAGTGTCTTTATCCAACATAGCACCTTGCATCAGCGTACCTGAGAGAAAATCAGAGATGCAATTGTTAGTAAATTATTTCATTCACCAAACTATGTATGCAGAAGACAACTGCTGCCAAAAGTTTTGCATCTTTTGGTTGCATACTCTCATAAATCACAAGGTTAAGCATCCAAATAATGAAAACTTTTCTTTGATAAGCAAACATTTTTAAACTTTGTCCCAAAGAAATTTAGTTCTTTTTAAAATTTCAACATTGAGACTGAACATCTTGATTGTAGTGGGCTCCAGAAACAACCTGGGTTGCAGGAAAACAAACCAATTTCATTGCGTGAAATTTTTTCTTACCATCCTTCACACAAAGAATAAATTTAAAGGAATGAATAAAAAAAAAATGGAGGGATAGGGTTCATTATTTTTGCATTTGCAGAATTAGGAGTGATGCAAAACTTGAAGCATTATAAAAAAGATGATACATGTTTTCAGAATTTGGCCAAGAATATTCAAGGTGGTAAATTATATATATCCGAGATAAAAATTGATCTTATAAGCAATGATGAGTGTAATTTAAAGAATTTTTAAAATTCTCCAGTGATTAAGTTACCTGTGGTATCATTAAGGACACAAATCAATTCAACATGGTTATCTCCACGCCTGTGAATAGCCTCATTCAAGAGCTTGACAGCATCTTTCCCTTCAACACCAGGACAGGCAAACGATTTTGTCCATACTTTTAAAATTCCACTATCAAGGGCATGCTGATGCATTGGGAAAGAGAATGTAAAACCTGTAAAAAATAAGTAGAACATATAAAAGTATTGATTACTTTCGGGATATTTGTAGCTGTGCATATTAACTGTGCGGAAGAGCAACATTTTCTGGATTCGATGAGGATTTTACATTTTTTAAATGTACATTTATTAGCTTTGAGTTCTAACAGATGACATGCTTTGACAATTTTTCTATGGTCAATACCTATAGATTAGATAATGCGGATTTACATTTTTTTTTGCCTTTTTTTCAAACATGGACTCGGGAATTTTCATCTTTTCACCAGTATTCACATTTAGAATGCTTAATTCGTGATTCATCCACATTTTGAAATGGGATTTTCTTTTTTAAGAATAAGTATTGCTTTCCTCCTTTTCTCTAAATGCATCATTCAAATTATTCAAACTTTGGCACTGTCTACCACGAGATTAAAATTTAGAATTTTTAAAAAGAAGTTTTCACGTTTACTTTCTGATACAGATGAGTACCTGTGATCAGTTTAGATTTGAAAGCTCTGACCTTATACTTGCCCATCAGTGACAAATTTAAAATTCTAAGGAGTAAATTTAAAATTGAACCAAACGAGGAAGAATTAAACCCCGATACTCACCCATTGGCAATACTCGATCTGCAAGACCATTTTCAATGACGAATTCAGAGATACATTCTGCCAGAAAGTCAAAAAGTTTAATGCCACAATTCAATCTGAGTTCATCACTGATATGATAGTGTTTCACTCTTTCATTGACGATTCTTCCTTTTTCTAAATCCACAAGAATGACACGAAAGTTGGTGCCTCCTAAATCCAATGCCAAATATTTGCCTTCCTCTGAAAAAAAATATAGTAAAAACAATAGGTGAGTCAAGTGGTAGTCTAAGATACACCGAGCAAGTCCCTTAACTAAAATTCATGGTTATTTTAATAGGTCACCTCAGGCCACCGTACGTTGGCCTTATATTCTGAACGATTGTGATCCCTCCTTATCCATTTTCAAAGCCAACAATTTAGAATATTTGTCAAAAGTTCATACCATACCAAAAATTGAGCATAAAATTTGAATTAAACAATACCGAACAATAGTTATTTTCAAAATTTACTACTTTTGGGCGAAAATTATTAGTGCGTTTTAAGGAGAGCACCTGATTCTCTTATTTCATTAATGACTTACTGAGAGAAATGCCAGAATAATAGACTTCCTTGAGCCTGTCTTTATGAGCAATTCTTAAATCATGAGGTTCATCCAAAATAATTCTACTTCTGGTCACATTTTGAAGGGATTTTCTCATTTTTGATACATTTCAAGCAAATTATCTAAAAACTCTGAGGTATGAAATTTGACCTTTTAAAAATGAATATGAGACGAAAGAATAAAAAAACTACCTGTTCCATTGGGCAACTCAGGAACATATGTATTTTCCATTAAAAGAGACGATGGTTTATCTGCAAGACCTAATTCCATTTCCCTTTGAAAAATTTCTGCCATTTTTAACATTGTTTTTCCATCCAACTTGAATCTTTGTAGCATTTTTTCCACCTGAAATGGTGCAAATAAACAACATTTATAAGGGGGGAAAAACTCAAGTAAACCAAAAACACATGTGTGAGCTGTCTTGATGATTCCTCTGGCTTTAGGGTCTTTAATTTTGCCCTTTATGTCTGATAATAATACACGGCCAAAGAATGAGGGAATTCACCTGGTAATTACCTATTTGTTTTTCCACTCATTCATAAACTAGTTGTCAAACCGAAACTTAATGCCATCATTAATACTTGGAATGTATCAGTCTAGCCTTCTTTTAGGGCTCACAAAGAGATTTTATGAGATTTTCTGGGCTAAGATTTATCTCCCATCTCCAGAAAAATTCTCGCTTCTACATTGAATTTTTTTCAATATAATGGAGCTTAAATTTAGCTGTCTATTGGTCCACTGCTCTTGATATGCATTAGCAACCTCAATTTTTTAAATTATCTCCCTTGCAGCTTTTCAATAATTATTTCGCTGACCTACATTATTAATTTCTTATCAGTCTGGTTTCTTCTTCTTTTATTTATCAAAGCTATTGATTACCTCTCCTGATAGGATTCGGCAAAATTCTTCGAAAATATTGAAGAGTGTAGCATTATGAAGAAAACATTACTTTTACATCACTTTGTTAGGTTCGATTCTTAAAATGCAGTCGTATTTACTTTTAAAAAAACGTATACAATTTTTTGACTCGGAAAATTTTGTCTGGCGTTAACGAGAAATGCCAATTACCTACTACAAGAACATTTTGCTTTTTTTGGAGAAATATTTTTTTTTTTTTTTTTTTTTNAAAAAAAAAAAAAAAAAAAAAAAAAAAAAAAAAAAAAAAAAAAAAAAAAAAAAAAAAAAAAAAAAAAAAAAAAAAAAAAAAAAAAAAAAAAAAAAAATACTCTGCTCTAAAAAATGTTCTTTAAAGTTTTTTAAAGTTTTTTTTTTTCAAAATTAAAGACAATCTTTTTTTGGAAATCAAAAGCCTTTTATAACCTTTCTTTTTAGTGTATAAGCGATTTTATCAAGGATTCACATACCTGCTCCGCCTTCCATTTGTTCTCCAGTTTTAGGGGTTTGACTTCAGAGCAGTGCTGATCGAGCAGCTCGGCAGTGACGGGAGCCATTTTGAAATTTAATAAAAAGTCAATTAAAATAAGATAAAAAAACTCTCTTGAGAAGTAATCGAGCTCGAATGGATCAAAAAATTATTAGATACGCACTTTCAAAGTCTTTCAGTAGGAAAATTAAGAATTAATAAGTTTTTCGCGTTTATTTCTTGTTCATTTTATTAAGAAAAATTAAGTGATCTGATGAAGGAATGCTAATTTAATTATGTACAAAATGAGTAAGACGAGAGATTTCTCCCAGGATGACCGGTTACCTGTAACAGAAAATTAAAAAACACGGTATAAGTTTAAAAAAATCGGAGTTTAATCGTGGACAGAATATTAAAACACAAATGAAAATGTGAGAGACAGAGAAGCATAATAAACTAGTGCAGCCTGTTATAATTGCCAAGACTGTTTCCGTTGATGTTGACCATTTTTGCGAGAGTAGCCTCCTAAAAACTCCTAAAAATTTATCTCCAGAGGTTGTTAGGTTCCTTAGCTCACATTGAAAAACGTTCGATTGTAAGAGCTGAGTGTCCGATGTTCTACATCGATCGAAATATTCGGTTTTTATAAGCGACATTAGGGTCCAGTGATCTAACTTCTGTCATCAGTTCGGTTCGATCTCATGAACCGAACTTTCAATCCTTGGAACTGAAATTTCTCTTTGAAAAATCGAATAGTTCAAGCGATCTGGAACACAGAACGTTCGGCTCATACGATAGTTTCTCGCTATTCGCGAGTTGGGATTATGAAGACCTTCCCTCGCATTTTTTAAGCTCTGGAATCGCGAATTACGCAGTCTCGCGAATTGTCAACTTTTCAGAGGTTAGAAAGCTCAATCATGAGGTTTTTATTTCTATTTGATTTCTATTCTTCGTGATGCTACGTTGCCAGGGAAATATACGTATGTGAATCTGAGGTTCAAAATTGTAGGTCTCAAAATTTCTGGTAAAAATATTCTGATTTCAAAGTCAAGGTATTGAAGATGTCTGACGCATGACCAAAAAAAAAAAAGAAAAAAGAAAAAAAAAGAAAGAAAGAAAAAAAGAAAGATAGAAAGAAACAAAGACAAAAAGAGGGAAGATGCAGAAGAATGAAGTGAATTCCCTGAATCGCGATTTTGAGCGGTTTTATTCTGCAAAATTGCATGGTTTTTCTCTAGCATCGGCACCGAACTATAAGGGTATAGGGTCTCATTATTAAGCGTATAGGGTTTCGTCATTGAGCGTATAGGGTCTAGTCATTAAGTGTATAGGGTCTCGTTATTCGCGAGGTTTTCGCGGAACGAAACCCTCGCGAATGACGAAAAACTACTGTATACAGTAATTTTTTGTTTTCTGTGTCGAGCCATTCATGTTTTATTGAGTTTCAAAGGTTTGAAACTTTGAACCTTACGTCCGTCAAAAAGCATAAACGGTTAAAGTATTGCCTGTTGGCGTGTTCTTTACCACGTTTCGTTCAGATCAGCTGAGAGTAAACAATTCGTCTCTCTCCTGACCTGAGCTCTAATCGAGTAAATAATCGACAGCTCGGTGCGGTGGGTCGAACGATATTTCTCGAAAGTGCAATGAGAGAATATTCCAGAGGCACAGATAAATAGACACGTGTTTGGCCGAGAGAGCATGAGTGTGACCCGTTACTCACGTGACCTGACCGAAAACCGATCAGAGATCAACTAATCACACCGGGCGCCAAGCTGCTCGTGAAAATTAGCCCTCGCCGTAATAATAACGACGATAAAAAATGGACTCACGATAAGGCCAATCGCTGACGAAGATTTGACGTTTTGCTTTTTGAATTGGATACAACGTCGTAGGTGTTTACAATTGAGGGGCTTGGAGGACAAGGCGCATAAGTGCAGTTTGTGAAAAAATTGAGATATTAATAATTTCAAGTAAAACTAATCTTGATACATCTTCTGTGAAAAATTCGCTTCCAAATTTTAATTCTTAAGCACCAAAAAGCCAGTTTGAACTTTTTTCCCGCCATAAGGATCCATGTAATTTCGAAACTTCAAACACGTACTTCTTGAAATAGCAAAAACTGCACTTACGCGCCTTGTCCTGCAAGCCCCTCGATTATAATGCGCCGAGGGCAAGGATAGCTGATTTCTGTCATCTGATGAAGGAAACCAAAGAGGAAATATGAAGGAAGGAAAATAAATAAATGAATAAAAAAAAACTATTCATTTTTCCGAGCGGTGAGTCCATCGATGGGAGAAAGCAAAAAATGCCTAATTAGACTACATTTTGCAATAGGGAACTACTAGTTTTGGCTCATCCATGAAAAAACCTGTCTACACAGGGAACATCAATGGAGACATTGAACATCATTGTCTCATCAATCTAATAGGAAAGGGGGAGGAGGAGGAGAAGGAGAAAGAAGAAGAAAGAGAGGAAGCAGTAAAACACAGCAGAGGGTGATAAAGGAAAGAAAAAAAAGGAATAGGAAGAGAAAGAAGAAGAGAATAAAGAAGGGAAGGATAAAAAACGAAAAATACGGAAATGAAGATGATGAAGAAGAGAAAAGGCATAAAAGAGAGGAAGAAGAAAATGAGAAAGGATGAGAAGAACGAAAAAGAGGACATAATAGTACCCCAGAAAAAGAAACATTATTCATAATTTGAATCAGTGAGGAACAAAAACCACCAACTCGGCAAAATGAAAGTAATCTAGACACACACAAAACTGCACAGTAGATGAAGAAATCAGTCGAAGAAAAAGATTTTTGTTGCCCAAATACAAGCACTTAAGTGCATTTTAAGGGTCCAAGTTGGAACAGATGCGCTAACTTCAATGACTTTTTAAAAATTGACGGTCTTCAATGAAAATTGAGCATTTTCGAGTTACCGAGTTGGTGTGTTTTCGATCTCACTGATTCATTTGTAGTTCAAGTGCGAAAAATTTACTCTGAGTTATGGTTTTATAGGGTTGGAGAATCGGGGATATTATTCCTGGGTGACAACAAGATTGATCAAACTGTGATTCCTTGAGAAGTTGCCAAGCAAATGAAAAGCCTTTTTAATCAAAGCATTCAGAGCTTAAGGAACGATTTAAATGTGTCCATTTCAAATAGATGACTATTCGCGCTCCTCGGTACGTTTATTGCCTACCCGGTGAAATTGAAGGGGAACTTGAAGTTGACAATAACTGCCAATGAGTTTAATTATCTAATGGTTCCATCGAAGTTTATGAAGCGAGATAGACGTGTGTTTTGGACCTGCTGCAATACCAAACCTCTACAATCTGTGGAGCGATAAATTAAAAGAGCCGATCATGGAAGTTTCACCTACATAATTTTGTGCTCAAGTATGCGAAACATTGATCCTGGAATATCCTCTCTATTCGAATAAAATCATTTTTAAGACGCTCGATGGACGGGGTGAGGAAGGGGAGTAAGAAGAGTAAGGAGCGGCCTTTAAGGGCGCGAAGCGCCCCAGGTGTTAGGGCCGCGTAGCGGCCAGGGGGCGGAGCCTCCTAGTTTCGCAATATTTACAAAACAATAAGATATTATCTTGTGGTGGGGTGCGAGGGCACCTTGAGATCTGAATTGACTTTTTCCTGACCTTGATTATACTCAAGTTCATTATGAAAATAAGTGTTGCTGATTCAACAGAAAAAAGTAACGTAAAGTTCACCAAATCTCTATCATAGGTCAGTTGGCTCTTATTGTTACTTTTCTCGTCGTCTTGACCCAACTAACAACTGCACTCTGAAATATTTATATCGATTACGGGATTTTAAAAGAGGAGTTGCAACTTGTTGCGCTTCTATCAAAACATCTCATCAACGATGCCGATGGAATAATGTATTAACCTGTTAACCTGTCAATCCTCAATCGGGGCAGAGTGTTTATTTTTAGATACTTTTTCTTTTGATTCTATTCTTTGATCGAGCACTTTAATCTAATCAATTTTTTTTCTTCCTTCCTTCCTTTTTCACTTCCTCGTTTCTCTTATTTAACTGCACCGGTAGCACAATGACGCTTGAGAATGTTTTTAAAATATCTCTGGAAGCATAATAAAAATTCTAAAAATGTGCTTCTAGCCGGCGAAAAAACTATAACTCATTAAAAACTGACTATGATATGTAAAAAAAGATAAACAATGGTGACATTTATGCGTTTTTAAAAGCCATGAAGCCATTTTTTCAATATTTTAAAACATATTTGGCGGTATTTAAATCTATCCATTTTGACTTGAGTCCTATTATGCTAGCATTGACTTGCGCGCCGAATTGAATTTTGCATCAGATGAAGTTTTCTTTGGTTGAAGCTGATTGATTGCTCATTGAGTAAATTGATTCATGATTAATTGATTGATAGCCGGATCGCAGACTGACCATGTGAATGACTGAATGATGCAAATCAAGAAGAAACTTCACTACATCTGATACATCTGCCTATGTAATATTAGCAATGCAAAACTATTTCAGTTTACGATTGTCACCCTTAACCCATGAATAAGTTCCACTTCGCACATAACGTACCTACGTTACCAACATCTAAAATTTACGTGGAATGGAATAAAATCGTTCTGCCCGGACGAAACGTAATCTACGTGTCTGGAAAACGAAGGATTTCTCGCCTTGCTTTCGCGCGAATATTTTATGTAAAAAAAAGCAAAACTTACTTCGCTCATGCAATAAATTTTCGGAAAATGAAAAAATGGGTCATTTTTTTGTAATGTTTTGGAAGGCATTTCCTTTTACAATTAGCCCTCTCGTCTCCCATAGTTAGAAATTTTTTAGATTTCAGCGTTAATTAACGCTGCCCTAAAATCCTAACCTCCCCTAAAACGCAGGCTCAGACCTCCTCTCCTCCCTTCCTCGAGCGTTACGTATCTAATGAGCGGCCCAAAGAGGCGTAATAAGACGGATGTTTTTGGACTGACTATATGTGAAATGAAATATTGATGACAAATTTTACTACTTTTGAAAGATATATAAATGAAATTACATTGCGCTGAAAAGTGAAATTTCAACTATTTTTCAAAATCTGCGTATGCAACCCGCGACCATTATCCAATAATTCGATAAAAAAAAACTTTGAGAGACTCATGTTTTTTTCTTCTTCTTCTTTTCTAAGTTTTGAAATAAATATATTCACTGTGTCTATGCGTTTCATGGGATACTAAGTCCATTGCCGGAATTTTAAAAAATTCATGAAATTTCACACGATTTCATTTGTGAAGTTCAATGAAATTTTGAATCTCTGGGTATAACCAAACGGACAAGATTTTAAATTTTCTTCATGAGTTTGGTACATGTGA